AGATTTTAAATTCTTGTTCACCAAAAAACATCATTAAGAAAGTGGAAAGCAAGCCATAGACTAGGAGAGGATATTCACAACACGTGTATCCAAAGAAAACTTGTCCAGAACAGATGAATTCTTACAAATGATAAAGTCAAACAAAGTTTTAAACTGGGCACTGAACAAGGATAAGAGGATCTCCAAATGGTCAAGTCAGCAAAGATGCTCAATGTTATCACTCATACAGAAGATGGAAATTAAAATCTTAAGTGAGATACCACTGCGCACCTGCCAGAATGGCTAAAATTTAAAAAGACTGATGACAGCAAGTGTTCAAGAAGATTGGAGCAACTGAAACACAGACAGCGCTGGTGCTGGCATTAATGCGCCACCACTTCAGAAAACTGTCAGTTTTTACTAAATCTAAGCATATGCCTAACCTACGATTCAGAAATTCCAGTTCTAGAACATAGACCAGAGAAATGAGGGTGCATGTTCACAAACAAATAGGTTCAAGAAGTGTATAGATGCTTTACACATAATAGCCAAAAACTGAGGTGGGGTGGAATTGAATGATCACATGGGAAGTTAGATAAATAATTGTGGCATATTCGTAAGTAGAATCCTATATAACATTTTTTAAAAGAGCGAACTAATAGTACTTACAACAATAAGGATAAATCTCAACGATGTTATGTTGAGTGAAAAAAGCCAGATGCTTAAGAGTATATATTGTATTAATCCATTGGTGATTTATCTGGGGCAGGAATGTTACAAACTGGGAAGAAACACAAGTAGTTTACAGGGCACTGAACGTTTTCTGAATATTAATTTAGTGGTGGTCACGATGGTGCGCCCATATGGAAAAAAGTCATCAAGCTGTACACTTAAGATAGGTGTATTATTATAAAGATATTATTCAACAACATAGAGAGGATGAAAAATAATGACAGACAACCATATATATTACTTAGATTTGTTTAATCCTAACATTTGCCATTTTTGTTTTCTTGTTGTTGATTAAAATATAAAACCATGCAAGATATATTTGGAGCCATCCTCATATCCTACCCACATATGTCAGCCCCCAGAGCAATCTCTGTTCTGAAAGAGGCCTGACTACTGTGCCTTTATGTTTCATTCTGAGCTTACTCTGCACCAGGCAGTGTTCTAGTTCCTAGAAATTCACCTAGAATAGAACGAATAACCCTGCCCAGCGAGAGCCGACATGTGAAAGGGTGGATGGAAAATGAGCAAATCTGAAGTAATACGTGGCATGATACATGAGATGCACTTTAGAGGAAAATGAAGCAAGAAAGGGTGTTGGGGGTGGGTTTCAGCGAGTGGGCTGTCCCATGTTGGATGGGGTTGCCAAGGGACAGCTCAGGGACAGGATACCATTTAGGAAGACCTGAAGGTGGAGGAGCAAAGCACACAGACATCAGGGGACACATTCCAGGCCAAGGGGGCCCAGTTTCAAGGAGCAGAGAGAGGCCAGGATGGTTCTGGAGGAGCGAACATGATTAGAGGGCCAAGGGCTGGGCGAGGTAGACC